GGGAAGTGGATTAGTTTTTTAACTTTTTAATTTTTCAACTATTTTAATTTAGGATTAAAAAGTCTTGTTTGATGTGAATTTTTTAGCTTTTTTGACTTTTGTAAGAGAAAGAATGTAATAATTATTAGTTGAATGTGATGTTTTATCTTATTAGACTAAAAAGTCTATTTTGTTTTTTTGTGGTTATTTTAGCCAAAAAAATCCAAAACTTATCTTTATAAACAGAGGCTTAGTTAGAATTGTTTTGTGTAATTATGATATTTTTTAAACTCATCTCCCCTTATTTCTATTAATGTGCTTCATCTTTGTTTGTTAACTTATAACAATAAAGATTGTGTTTGGTTGGGCTTTGTAATCAATTTTTCACCCACTGATTTGAAAGTTACGTTTGGTTTTAGTTTTCAAAAATCATTTTCACACTTGCGCTTGAAAACACGTCTACTTGGACGTCTCCCCGGACATTCAGCTGGTTGACCGGAACAGTGTTCATTTTTTTTTTGACACTTGTTATTTTTATATTTTAAATAAAAAATTATTTTTTGATTTTTTTTTAAATTTCTTATGAGTTTTGAATAGAATTTTAAGTTGTGTGTTTGGTTATGAATTGTAAGTTTTTTAATCAAATAACATATGTCACATCACTGAATTCAAACTCTTTTCAAAACTTCAAAACTCATAACTAAACAAATCTTTTACACTCAAATCATAATTCTAAAACTCACAAATTCAAAACGCAATTCTATTCTCAAATCATAATTCTAAAACTCTACCAAACGCTACCTTAGATTTTTCTTTTTCGCTGATTGAAGAAAAAAAAAATGCATTTACATTATCAACACATCATATAAAAATTTTGAGTTCCTTTCTTTTCTCTAAAGTTTAAGCTACATTCCTACGTGTGAAAAAGCATGTTTAGGGGTGGTGTAGAAAGTGGACTCCAAGTCATATGATCCAAAGAGAGGATCTCTTTTCATCCTTGAGTATAGAAGGATCCCATGAAAAATAATGCATGGCCGAATCAAAAAAATTCTCCCTCTCTCTCTCTCTGTTTCTCGCTTTTTTATGATAAATAGTTGAGGAGAATGTTGTCTGATTCAATATCATTCATGTAAGGCTCTAACACTATCTGAATGATTTCGGATCAGGCTTCATTCTCCTCAACGGGAGAAACTCCATTGGCAAGGCCCAAAGTGCAAGTACATGTGAATGATGGCTACTAAAATGTAATTATAGCACAAATTAATCGGAGCACACAAGTGAACTATGAAGTACGCATCATAAGCAAGGTGAAGTGGTGAGTTACCCGAATCCAGATATCACAGTGATCTGCGGCAGGTGGGTGCAATTCACTTTCAATCTTTTTCTATTTTTTTTTTTTTTTTTAAACTGAGACTTTTCATCTTACATGCTGACAGTATCCAGTTAATGTGAAATTTGGTGATGATAATCTTTAGCTTTCTTTATTTGTTGGGGACTTGGGAGTGTTGAATTACCATGTGTGCTTTGCATAGATTTACAAAGAATACACAGAGAGAAAGGGAGAGGTAGAGAGGGAGGGAGATCCATTGAAGTTGAGCTTTGAATTTGCTACTTAGGCCTCGTTTGGTAAGTAATTTTTTTAATCAAAAAGGTAAAAAGTTATTAAAAAAATCAAAAAGTCAATAATTCATATCAAAAAATCAAAGATTTCTCTTTCTCTCTACTTTTTGCACATCTTTTCATAAAAAGTTAAAAAATTATTCCAAACATACTAGCTTTTTTTACGTCACATTTTAGCCGAAAAGTTAAAAAGTTAACTAAAATATCATCATAGTCAACATGATGGATTAAGGCCCTGTTTGGGAAGATGATTTTGGATTAAAATACTTAATAAAGATAAAATAAATTAAAATAGTTAATAAGTTAAAATGTCACATTCAAATCATAATTATTTTATTTTGTCTCTTACAACCATCAAATTAACTACCAAAAAAAACAAAAAAAAAAAGTCAATAAACTTTCCAAACATAATTTTTTTAGTCAGGCTAAAATAGTTAACTTCCCAAATGATCCCTAATTCTAGGCAAATTATATCAGTATTTCTTATATTTTACTCTGTATCATTTTAGTTCCTACATTTTCAATTAGTTATTTTAATTCTTAATTTTAGAATTTGTATTTATTTAGTCCAATTGATATGCTTTAGTGTTTTTCATGGACAAGGACCACTGAATTTATTGAGTTTAACTTACTGAGTTGAGCAAATTTATAATTATTTCTAAAATCATGAGATATGGCATTTAAGTGTATATTTTTCATTAAAAATATTAACAATTATAATCAACTGGACTAAGGCCTCGTTTGGGAACAGGCTAATTTAGTAACTTTTTGGCTATTTGGCTAAAATATGAGCTAAAAAAATAGTATGTTTGGGATGACTTTTTGGGTTTTTACGAAAAGATGTGCAAAAAATAGAAAGAAAAGAGAATCTTTAACTTTTTAGTATGACTTGTTGACTTTTTGACTAATTTAATAACTTTTTGATTTTTTTGCTAAAAGGGAGGGTTTCCAAACGAGACCTAAATTGAGAAAAAAAAATTATAAATTCATGATCAACATTGAGCCAATTAAAATTATAGAAACTAAAATAACATAATAACCAAACTATAAGCATGACTCACGTAATTTGCACATAATTTTATATGAACCCTACTTGAAAACACTCAGAAACTATATGCATTAGAATTCAATGTAAAAATTTATAAGGTAAATTAAAAATACACTCATTAAAATTTATTTAAAATATAGATTGTCCTATGTCATGATTTTAGAAAATACAAATACTTTCTTATCAAAAAAATTTCATTTGAAAAATCTATTTATAAATTCCATCTTAAGGAATGGTGTTCCGTTTAGTCTCAAGAATTTTTTTATAGACCAATTAATTCATTGATTTTAGAGAAATAAATTTAATATATTATTTGAAAATTAAATTTACAATTATATCCTTATTTCTATTATGTTTCTTTCTTCTTTTTCTTTTTTCTTTTTTTGTGCTAGAAAAGTAAGATACACAACTTATGGGAATCAAATTTGGGATAAATTTTTATATGAAAATCCTTTTTATTTGCAATGATTTGAAATATAAGATTCTTCAAACATTCCAAAACGAGTACAAAAATGACTTGAAATATGAGATTCTTTAAACATTCTAAAAAGAAGTGGATTCTTCAAACATTTCAAAAAGAGTACAAAAACTCCTTAGTAAGCTTTGTGTAAATATATAATTTCAAACTGCAATATTTCAATATAACACTCAAACGTAACATTCTAATATAACATACCAAAAACACTCCTTAGTATATTTTTTTTCAAATGTAACACTCCAAAAAAACTCGTTAGTGTAACACACACAAAAACTCCTTAGTATAATTTTTCCAAACGTAACACTACAATTTAACTCTCCAAAAAAACTTCTTAGTGTAATACTCCAATGTAACATATAAAAAAAAGCTTCTTAGTGTATGTGGGATTCTTTAAACCATTCCACATATGGAATTCTTCAAACTATTTCAAAAGAAGTACAAAAATTTTTTAGTAAGTTTTTAGCAGATGTATAATTTCAAACTGTAAGTGTTACATTTGAAAAAAATACACTAAGAAATTTTTTATATGTGTTACATTTGAGTGTTATGTTTGGAATTACATTTATTAGAGTGTTACATTTTAGAAAAGTACACTAAAGAGTTTTTTTGGTGTGTTACGTTGTTACGTTTGAAAAAAATACACTGTAGATTTTGTTTAGTGTGTTATATTGGAGTGTTACGTTATTGAAATGTTACGTTCTTATTCGTTATGTGAAATTTATTCCAGAATGAGAGAAAATCCAAAACCTCTATTATGCAGATTGCCCAAACATATAATTTTATATTTAGAGAAATCCACTTTTATTCCTCAAAAATTAAACCCAAACGTATAAATGACTATCCTTTAGAATAATTTTCATTTTAATGGGACCTTTGAGTTTATATATATATATATATAAAATTTAAAAAAAAATAAGCTAAACAGTTTACAAGATCACATTTTGAAATTTATTGATGCTTATTCATTTCATTCAACAAAATTAACAGAAAAAATAAAATTCCTAACAACCTTTCTATACAACAATTAAATTGCTCGAATTGTTAATTAAAATATATTTATAATATTATTAAAAATTATTAATTGAATTAATGATTTATTAATAAAATGTATCATTTATTATGCAATTATAGATTTAATGAAGCGAGATAAAACTTTCATAATTATCCGAGACAATCTGTCTTATAAGACCATCTCCAATGGTTACTCAAACCTTTTGATGAAAACTAAGTCCTTTTGTTGCTCTAACAGTTGCATCAAATAAGTATCAAATTGAAAATTTTACTTTTCTGTCATCAAACAGAGGATTAATGTGTTTTTTATCAAATCACTGTTATTACCGTTACTGGATGTCCCCGTGGATGATCATCTCAAGCAAAAATTTGTAAAAAAATTACAATGACCGGTTGACCGTCCGGTCGTCCTCCCAGTCAACCACCTCAAGGCAACAAAAAAAAAAATTTAAATTAAATTGGCCAGTCATCCGGTGTTCTGATGAAATTTCAAAATCTTCCGTTAAAGCACTTGATATCAAATGAAATTTTTACTTAAATTTAATTAAAAAAAATTAATACACCATTGAAGATGTTCTAAGTAAACCTTTTTATCCATTTATTTTATAAGAATAAAAATTTATATATCAGTACTGATGTTGGATAATCTTTTAATAAACCCACATGTCATCTCGAAAACTAGCTGTTATTTCAGAAAACAGTGACCAAGACGTCACTGTAACCTTTGAACCAAAACAAATATGACGATTAACCAGCAGCTCTAACAGGCAAAACAGCATACCAATGAACAAATCACTACCTTCTTCAATCTCCATATCATAATAAACAAAATTCTCACTCATCTCTTTCTTGGTTATCCAAGACATGCAGAAAGGTAACCCCTCTCTCTCTCTCTCTCTCTATATATATATATATATATATTGTAATTCTTCATAGGGACAGAACTTTGTACATCTTTATTATTTATCTAATGAATAAAATAATAATTGGTGTGAACAGGTCTCAATAGCAATAGCAAACCAAGTGGGACACAGATCCTAGTAGCATCTTCCATTGGAGTGATAATGGCAGCAGCCATGCATTACTGTCTCAAGAACATAAGATATCGAAAGATCGCTCCCCGTATCAAACTCTCTGATGATGGCCACGTCGAGAAGGTTGAGAGGTTCTCCCATTATGTAGGTAATATTTGTTGGAATAATCTTCTGTATAAAATAAAATAACTTGAAATAATTCAAACAAAATAAAATAAAACTTACAGAATTTATTTTGTAGAACCGAATAAATAATTCAAAGACCAAGTCGAGTGTGTAACACTCTGTCTTTAATACAGATTCGCCCCGCTACGGTGCTTACGGTTGAGCGGCGTCTATCTCCCAGGATACAATGATAATTTGTAGTAGCACTCCAAAACAAATTGTTCGGCGAACCAAACCTGTGATCTAACTCTTTGAATATTTATTCTAAAACTAGAATGAAGAATAAAATGCAAAGGAAAAATTCTGGACAACAATATCTATTTTTCAGACTGTTTTTTTTTCGGATTTCTCTAAGTATATAGACTGCTGGAATAGATTCTCTATTTATAGACAACATAGTGACAGTTAATAGCCCGAACAGGCACAACACATTTGAATGAGCTGATGCACTTTTTTAATTCAAACAATTTTGACCGTTTGAAGAGGAACACTAAAATTCAAACAATTGAAAAGTGGTCCGTTAGTGGAACTGTTTCAAATTGTTGGAACTTTATTAATTAAACTATTTAAAATATATATATATATATATATATATTAAACTATTGAAATAGTTTAATAAATAAAGGAAGAGGTACAAACTTTAGGAAATCACTTAAGAACCTAAAATTTGAATTTAGAATTAAATTAAATTCCCACAATAATTTTTATTAAAAAAATTCAAAAGAATTTTATCTAAAAAATTAATGTTAAACCCGAAAACGACGTCAACTTCCCATTCACTCATAAATGGTTTTGACATTCCGTCTTCACCGTGTGACTTGCCACGCGACAAGGAACACATCACCTCTTCGGACTCACCCCAAAAGACGTTTGAAGCCCACTCAATTTTGGCCTCAAAGTCAGCCCAAAATATGCCATAATAAACCAATTTTTCCAACAATATTTATATTATGTGATCCTTTTTTTTTTTCAATACCGATTTGGATTTTATTCATCTCATGAAAATGTTGAATAGAGTAGCATCAAATGATGTAAGAATAGAATGACACTTTTTCATTCTCATGTGTAGTTATACTCATTAATAGTGGAATGAAATATTTTTTTATTCAATGAGTGGTAACAATTAATTTAAAATTGTTTAGATCATAATATTTTAGTAGTTGTAGAAGTGGTGTGAGTAGTGATTGTAATTGCAGTGGCAACATTGGTGGTTGTTGTAAGTTGGTATGGTGTCCTGATGGGGGTAGGATGGTTATGGTAACAATAGTAGGATGGTGGAGGTAATTGGTGATGATGGTAGTAGGGGTAAGGGTAGGATGGTAGTTGTGGCGGTGGTAGGGATGTGGTTGGCTGTGGTGGTGGTAGGCGATGATGGTAGGATGGTAGAAGGGGCACTGCGGGGAGCAAGCAAATTGTGGTTATACACTCGCTTTAAAATGATTTCATGATAGGATGAAATATCTATTTCTTAAATCAGAAGAAAAAAATTAGTTTTATCACGTTTTGTTGGAATAGTTATTCCTACTTACATAAGTATATCAAATGCCAAACAAGGAAAAGGAAATGCAAAATGAAAATGAACATTCCCTTTCAACTCATTTCAAGCACAGATACTTTTAAAATAAGATCGTTCCATCTTATTTTCTTCCCTTCTCTCAAGTAGCTATACTTGTACCATGATACTAACAAAAACATATTCAATACTTGATATTAATTTAATTTAATTTAATTTTGAGAAATATAGAATAGTTTTTAGATACTCCATGTTACATATCTAAATTATAATATTTTTTGCATAGTATTATAATATGATTGTTAAGAGAAATACAATAATATTAGAGGGAGAAAATTAGTTAAAACAGTGCCTTGTTTTTTAAGACCTTAGCCTCTTAGATTAATACTTAATTCTTAAAAATAAATTCACGTCATTCTTTTGAGCTTATATGTAATACAATACTAAAAATTTAAATAAATAATTAAATTTTTAAAAAAATAATAAAAATAAGAGCATGTCCAGAACATACCCATATCTTATTTTTTAATAAATTTTGCTGTTTCGGCATATTTGTATCATATTGTGGCGCATCGATATCATATTGTTCAGTGCTTCATAGACAGCCTACAAAAACCTTTTTCAGACTCCTTCAGACTCCATAGTGACAAAATTCTTGTGCACTAAACTGCCTGTTCGTCTTATTTTCACCCTCCCTTCTTAGACCCTGTGATGGTGGTCTCCGTCTCGTGCATTGAACTGTCCTTTGATCTGTATCTCTCTGGAATTGTTGCAGCTAGGCAAATGGGTTTTGCAGATAGAAGGCAATGTCCACACCTTTGCAAGTTAGCTTCTGATTACATCAGAAAAGCTGAAGGGTGTGAGGACAACATATATACATTCTTTGCTGACGAACCAGATGCAGATTCCTTGTTCATAAAGCTAGTTGAGGAGCTTGAGAGGTGCACTCTTAGCTATTTTGCATTCCACTGGAGCCAAGCAGATCAAATGATTAGTCAGGTAAGTACTAATTAAACTCTTTAGCTTCATGTGAAATACAACTATAATAGACAAATTCAAATGCACTGCCTTAAAAGTTTGCAAATTTTGTTAAGGGAATTAACATTGATCATCTTCTGTTTAAAAACAAATTAAACATTCAGGTGCTGGGTGCTGATGCTGAGCAAAAAAAGAAGCTCAAGCACATTGTCATGGAAGCAACAAGGTGGGTTTTTCTATTTTTCCTTTATTTCAGATTGCAAATACCACGTTGTTCACAAACAAACAGAAAAATGCGTCAACCGGTGTAGATTACATCTTTGGTTCTCATGTAAGCAGAACCCGAAAAAACAAATCTATATAAGCACTTCGTAATTAAGTTTAAGCAAACAAAAGGAGAAGGAAGAAAAAAATCAACCACTATGCAACAAATGATTATTTTTTAGTAACAATTAACTGAAAACTACTTTGCCAAGAGTGTTCTTTGTTTCTATTTTATGAGTAAGTCCTAAAGAATCCCTTCTTCTTTTTTGTTGGTGAGATACATAGGGAACATAGATTTAAAAGGGTGATGAAGAACCTCAAGGTGGCAAGAGTTTTCAATACATTGGTGGAGGAGTTGAAAGCTATCGGAGCTCCATCAGTTGATGATTTACAATGTACAGACGTGATGGCTCCGGTGGATCACAAAGACAGAAGTCCAGTTCTACTCTTCATGGGTGGTGGGATGGGAGCTGGGAAAAGTACGGTGCTTAAGGACATTCTCAAAGAGTAAGAATAATATTCACTTGCGATTAAACAGTAATCGAGAAAACAGATGGAAAATTCAAATTTTCAGTTCTATGTTTGGATACCAAGAATTTGATGAGGAAAAAAAAAACGCTTGAACTGATTCAATTTTTTGGGTTATTATATGGATTACCAAACAAAGAAATTAATGTCAGTCATTTTCTTCTTGTCTTCCATCGTTTTTATTTTCTGTTCTCAAAGATAGAAAATGAGAACTGATACTGTATACTTGTTTGACAAAGAATTTTCAAAACCTGTTTTTGGAAAGGTTTTTTGAAAAAAACCATTTTTCAAGAAACAATATTAAATTACTTTTTATTCATTTTTTTTTGAAAACTATTTCTGCACAAAAATGAAAATGAAAATGAGTGGTGTTTCCGAATTTTTCATTATTTTTGTTCTGAAAAACACAAAAAACAAAAACAAAAATTTGAAAACAATACCAATACCTTAGCTTTCATATTACTTTTCATTCATTTGCCCTTGAAAAATTCAAGTTCCAAACATAGAATGTAGTATACAATTCAGATCTCTCTTGTAGCAATGCAAAGTGCAATTACGCATTATGATAAATAATGACAAAAGGTGCATGGGCTTCATACTAAAATGTGCACAGACCATTCTGGGCAGGTGCAGCGTGGAATTCGGTGATAATAGAAGCAGATGCCTTCAAAGAGTCAGATGTCATTTACAAAGCCCTCAGCTCTAGGGGCCACCACGACATGCTTCAAACGGCTGAATTGGTATTTTTCTCTGTTCTCTCTGGTATGCTCTTGACTTCAACTTAGCCTGCATGCGCGATTCACCATTTGTACTAGGATGAAAGAAGCAACTTAAACTTTGTCAAGTACATGTTATCTACTTAGCAGTATACATCATTTTCCTCGTGGAGTTTATTAGGTAAGAAATTTACCTGTAGGCAGTGCAGTTGTAACAGGGCTTCACACGATCTCTTTCCTCACAAAAGATTAGAATACTACATATCCATTTTGAGTTTTCTTCAGAGACTCCTCTTGAATCGCATATTGCATTCTTGGCAATAAAAATGATACAGCATATTCCATCGCATCACTCTTGGTAGCCCTGCTGTCCTCATCTTCCAGAGACAAGCTTCTACTCTGCTTGAAACGATTCCTAAATCTCATACATTCTCACTCCATTCTATTTCAATCCCCTCCACCAAATGTGCCTTAAAATAAATAAATAGTTATCTGGAAATAGCCACTTGTGTTTGTTGGACATCTTTCAATTACAATGCACAATAATTCAATGAAAATCATATCCAGTAAGAATGAGAAAAATTGGAAAGAATATAGAAGATAAAATCAAAAAATAGAAACAAGCTGATTGAATTTTAGGATAAAAAGAGAACATTGATATCAACCAACAGATTCCATATAAATTTATAGAAAAATCATGAAACAAAATTTGTAACAATCGACTAAACATCTCAAAACTTCTCTTGAACATGTGCTCTTCATAATGACAAAAGAATGCCACAAGCTTCTCACTTGACTCATCTATCAAGTGACAATAGTATAAAACCCCAAAAAATGTCTCTTACAGCTTCAGTGACTAAGCCTACCTTTTAGATGAAAACTACAACCAATTATGTGGTTAATAAACTTGAATTTTTCATTGACACCATACAAAATTAAAATGTAGCAGCACGCCTCACTGAAACATTAAAGAAGGTTAATAACTTGCTAAAGCTAGGGGAAAAACAAAATCTAATGCAAAAGCAGAACTCTGCCCGATTGTCTTGTGATTAAGCAACAAGACGATTCTAAAAGGTATGTATTGCACTATTAATTTGGCTATGAAAAACAAGTTCAACAAGGCCTCACTTAACAATTGAACAATTACAACAAATCTTAAACCTAAACACCCGTGTACATGTGAGAAACTGCTCCAAATTTAATCAGGATAAAAGATACCATACATCATCACTTGCCCACCATCTATACTATCTACGTTATATTTAAATGTCAAACACTAAATTTGGTAAATAAGCCACAAAATTAAAAATCAAAATTATTTGGGTAAATTACATTGATCTCCCCAAAGATTTGGAGAAAATATAAGACTGTGTTTGGTTTGTAATTCAAACCATGATTCCACACTAATAAACAATCCTCTGTTTGCTTCCAGCTTTCAAATCATGATTCCAAATCAATTTCAAAACACATTTTGAAAACATGTTTGGTAAACCACAGAATTTTTGAATTTTTGGTCTCCCCGATTGTCCCCCCCTGACATCCTCTGAAACGTCCAGCCGGTCGTCCAGCCGATTAACTGGAACAGTGTTTTTTTATTTTTATTTTTATTTTTAGCCATTGGCACTTGTTATTTGAAAGAAAAAAATATATATATATTTATATTTGGTATTGATTTTTTTTAAATATGGAAAATATTTGCTTGAGACCAAAATGACAAATTATTTGGAAAAAAATTGAAATAAAAATTAATTTGTCACAGTAATTTTTAAAAAATAATAACATATTTTTTAAATATTTTAAATAAAAAAATATTTTCAAATTTTTTTTAATTTTTTAAATAAAAAAGTTATTTTTGTGAATAATTATTTTTTTGAATTGAATTTTTAAAAAGAGTTTGATTATGAGTTTCCAATAGAATTTTAAATAGAGTTTTAAGTTGTGTGTTTGGTTATGAGTTATAAATTTTTAAATTAACTTTTGAAAACTCTTTTCAAAACTTACAATCAAATAGCTTTTTACAAACTCAACACTCATTTCAAAAATTCAACACTCAATTCAAATCTTAATTCAAAACTCTTTTCAAAACTCACAACCAAATAAATTTTCTCTTTTCAAATTATAATTCCAAAACTAACAAACTCAAAATATAACTCCACACTCAAATCATAATTCTAAACACAAACCAAACGCTGGTCTGTTTGGTAACGTTTACGTTTTCAGTTTATATTTACAAAAATTTTATAAACTGATTTTTGTTTTTTTAAAAAAAAAACATAAACTACAAACGCGTTTGGTAATTGACAAAATGTTTAAAAAAAATTAAAAATATAAAAAAGAGTGAGAAATGACAAGTGGTGGCAAGTGGCGGCGGAAGACGGTAGTGGAAAGTGGTGACGGTGGGTAGCGGGTGGTGGTGGGTGGTGGATGGTGGCTGGTGGTAGGGGGTGGGTGGTAGGTGGTGGCGGCGAAAGACAGTGGTGGAAAATGATAGCGGGTGGTGGCTAGTATTGGGTGGTTAAAAAAAAAAAACTCAAAACTCAAAACTCAAAACGGAAACACATTTTTTGGCCAAATTTATAAACTGAGACCACTAATTTATAAATCAAAAATTTATCAAATAAGTTTTTATTTGAGTTTATAAAATTTTTGTAAATATAAACAGAAAACTGAAAACGAAAGTGTTACCAAACGGCACCTCCTAAGTAGTCTCACAATTTTGACATAATTATACTGAGTTCTCTTAAAATTTATACTCACATAACACTTAGTCTCATTTCCATTAATAATTTGTTAGTCATATGGATTAAAAAATAATAATATCATATGTTTTTATAGTGAAATGCATATTTTTCCTTATCTATTTTTGTAATTTCACACTATTTGCATTAATTTCAATAATTTAGCCTTCCTAAAACAAAAGTTAATATAATTATACTAAAACTAGAAGACTACATGTATAGTCTCTATTTCTCAAGGAGGTCAGTCTAATTTATCCAAATTATTTTTAAATTCATTTGGTAACTACGCAATTTAGAGCACCAATACTCTTAATAAGTCACAATTGTAGCTACAATGGCACAACTCATGATTCACAAGCTGCCATTAACCACAATTTACGATTCTCATACTCAATTGCATAGTTTCTCTTTTTAATCTCTATTTATTCTTTATTTTATTAATTTTAATCATTTTAATAAATTATATTTAATATAACCAATAATACATATGCATAGCATGTTCGTCAATTTCTAGTTAATCATATATGCTCACAGTTTATGAATAAAGCATACCTTAACAGTAACAAAGGGTTACAACCAACCCCCAAGGATTGGCCTAGTGGTGTAGGCTTGGGACTTAGGAGTTTGCTCCTCTTTAGATCTCAAGTTCAAAACCTCTTAGGTGCTATCAATCATTGTGTTGGACCAGTTCATACAGAACTTTGCTCTAGCTTTAAATGGACCCCCCGCTAATGGACGGTGGAATCGCAAGCTAGCCCGAACACCCTGAGTTATCAAACAAAGGGTTACAACCTTTGATACAAGCTCTTCTTGAAAACCATAAGCTTGGTTCATGTCCATCTTCAAATTAATGAATATTTCACCATGACATTGCCATGCTAGTAAAAAATTGTATGCCTATGCTTACAGTGAAATTGCTCAGGTTCACCAGCCCAGGATTGAGGCACATTCTTATAATGAATGATCTTAATAGACACTTCCAGTTATTTCAACTGAAAACAAGAGGAATTCCTGTTCATAGGTCCGCCCGCTCCTGAGTGAGTAGCAGCTCTGGCTTGGGGTTGCCTTATTAGGCTCTTGACCCCTCGATTCCCGAGAGCCTGAGAAAGAATCAATATGAGAAGAGAAGAAGAAGCCTTCACAGAGTTTTTTAAATCAAATACATGACCCTTTAAAGGACAAAACTTGAGCATAATTGCATAAATTAGACAATAATATGAAAAATATTTGGATGAAAGCTTACCGGACATGGCATCAAATTCAAGTACATTTGAGCCCCCAGCTTGAAACCTGCCTGTCTCATTTATCAAGAGTGGCTAGTTTGAGGCTAAACTTTGTCTCTTGCATCATAGTTTTGATAAATAACCTCCAAAAAGAAGCCAATATCCCCTAGTTTGCCACTTTGATTCACGGTCTTAAAATGCTTCAAGTGTTTTTGGTACTTCCCATTCACCGTCTTCACTTTGAAAATCTTTTCTCCAGTCTCTGTTACACCTTTCTGGCATAAAAGAAAAACAGAGATGGTTACCACTATAAATGTGTATATTATTATCATTAAACTTTGTCTTGATTACACTACGTTCTCATAATAAGCTTAGATAGTAAAACTCAACAAATACTACTCCAAATAGGTACACCAATCATCCACCGACGCAGCATCATCCCTCTTGGTAACAGCACTCAATGAAGGGAGGGATGTGATCATGGATGGCACTCTCTCTTGGGTCCCCTTTGTTGTGCAGACAATAACCATGGCCAGGAATGTTCACCGTCGCCGGTACCGCATGGGAGCTGGTTACAAGGTGGGTGAAGATGGAGTTGTAACTGAAAATTACTGGGAACAGACGGACGAAGAAAGTGACCAGTAATTTTTTAAAAAAAAATAACATATTTTTTAAATATTTTAAATAAAAAAATATTTTCAAAATTTTTTTAATTTTTTAAATAAAAAAGTTATTTTTGTGAATAAATATTTTTTTGAATTGAATTTTTAAAAAGAGTTTGATTATGAGTTTCCAATAGAATTTTAAATAGAGTTTTAAGTTGTGTTTTTGGTTATGAGTTATAAATTTTTAAATTAACTTTTGAAAACTCTTTTCAAAACTTACAATCAAATAGCTTTTCACAAACTCAACACTCATTTCAAAAATTCAACACTCAATTCAAATCTTAATTCAAAACTCTTTTCAAAACTCACAACCAAACAAATTTTCTCTTTTCAAATTATAATTTCAAAACTCACAAACTTAAAATATAACTCCACACTCAAATCATAATTCTAAACACAAACCAAACGCTGGTCTGTTTGGTAACGTTTACGTTTTCAGTTTATATTTACAAAAAATTTATAAACTGATTTTTGTTTTTTTTAAAAAAAACATAAACTACAAACGCGTTTGGTAATTGACAAAATGTTTAAAAAAAATTAAAAATATAAAAAAGAGTAAGAAATGACAAGTGGCGGTGGAAAACGGTGGTGGAAAGTGGTGACGGTGGGTGATGGGTAGCGGGTGGTGGTGGGTGGTGGCGGTAGGTGGGTGGGTGGATGACGGTGGTGGGTGGTGGGTGGTAGCAAGTGGGTGGTGGTGGCGGTGGCGATGGCGGTGGCGGGTGGTGATGGTAGGTGGTTGGTAGCAAGTGTTGTGGTAACGGAGTGGGTGCGTGACGGGTTAGCGGGTTGCGTGAGTCGGTAGCAAGTGGTGAGGTCGCGGAGTAGTGGTGTGGCAAGTAGGTAGCGGATTGGCGAGTGATGATTGCGTGTGGCGGGTGGTGGATGGTTGGGTGGAGTGGTGACGGCTGGCGGTTGGTGGGTGGTAGCGATGGTGTGGTAGGTGGCGAGTGGTGGTGGCAGGGTGGATGGCGGGATGCGGGTTGGTGGTGGTGGTGGTGGGTGGTGGTGACCGGGTAGCAGGTGGTAGTAGGGAGTGGCTGGTGCAGTGGGTGGCGGGTGGAGCGGTAGGCGCGGGTGGTGGCCGGGTGGCTGGTGGTGACGGGGCTGGTGGATGGTGGTGTAGGTGGAATGGTTGACGGTGGTGGTGGCGGGTAGGTTGCGACGGTTGTGTTGGTGAGATTGGCGGGATAGTAATGGCGGGTGGTGAGATGGTAGCGGGAGGTGTGTGGTGGTGGTGTGGTTTGGTAGCGGATGCGGCTTGATAGGGGGGCTGAGAGTGGTGGTGGTCGGGGGTGGGTGGTAGTCGGGGTGCGGCGGCGAAAGACGGTGTGGAAAATGATGCGCGGAGTGATGGCTATATGGGTGTCAGTTAAAAAAAAAAAAACTCAAAAACTCAAACTCAAAACTCAAAACAGGGAAACACATTTTTTGGTCCCAAATTTAAAACTGAGACCACTTAATTTATAAATTAAAAATTTATCAAATAGTTTTTATTTGAGTTTTTAAAATTCGTTAATATAAACTGCAAAACTGAAAACGAAATTGTTACCAAACCGTTACCTCCTAAAGTAGTCTCACAATTTTGACATAATTATACTGAGTTCTCTTAAAATTTATATTCACATAACACTTAGTCACATTTCCATTAATAATTTGTTAGTCATATGGATTGAAAAATAATAATATCATATGTTTTTATAGTGAAATGCATATTTTTCCTTATCTATTTTTGTAATTTCACACTATTTGCATTAATTTCAATAATTTAGCCTTCGTAGAATAGAGGTTAATATAATTATACTAAAACTAGAAGACTACATGTATAGTCTCTATTTCTCAAGGAGGACAGTCTAATTTATCCAAATTATTTTTAAATTCATTTGGTAACTACGCAATTTAGAGCACCAATACTCTTAATAAGTCACAATTGTAGCTACAATGGCACAACTCATGATTCACAAGCTGCCATTAACCACAATTTACGATTCTCATACTCAATTGCATAGTTTCTCTTTTTAATCTCTATTTATTCTTTATTTTATTAATTTTAATCATTTTAATAAATTATATTTAATATAACCAATAATACATATGCATAGCATGTTCGTCAATTTCTAGTTAATCATATATGCTCACAGTTTATGAGTAAAGCATACCTTAACAGTAACAAAGGGTTACAACCAACCCCCAAGGATTGGCCTAGTGGTGTAGGCTTGGGACTTAGGAGTTTGCTCCTCTTTAGATCTCAAGTTCAAAACCTCTTAGGTGCTATCAATCATTGTGTTGGACCAGTTCATACAGAACTTTGCTCTAGCTTTAAATGGACCCCCCGCTAATGGACGGTGGAATCGCAAGCTAGCCCGAACACCCTGAGTTATCAAACAAAGGGTTACAACCTTTGATACAAGCTCTTCTTGAAAACCATAAGCTTGGTTCATGTCCATCTTCAAATTAATGAATATTTCACCATGACATTGCCATGCTAGTAAAAAATTGTATGCCTATGCTTACAGTGAAATTGCTCAGGTTCACCAGCCCAGGATTGAGGCACATTCTTATAATGAATGATCTTAATAGACACTTCCAGTTATTTCAACTGAAAACAAGAGGAATTCCTGTTCATAGGTCCGCCCGCTCCTGAGTGAGTAGCAGCTCTGGCTTGGGGTTGCCTTATTAGGCTCTTGACCCCTCGATTCCCGAGAGCCTGAGAAAGAATCAATATGAGAGAAGAGAAGAAGAAGCCTTGCACCATATGCAATTAGGTGTAAGAGTGATGCTATGCGAAAAGAATCGTAAATGATCACACTAAATAATTTCAGAGCGCAGAGTTTTTTAAATCAAATACATGACCCTTTAAAGGACAAAACTTGAGCATAATTGCATAAATTAGACAATAATATGAAAAATATTTGGATGAAAGCTTACCGGACATGGCATCAAATTCAAGTACATTTGAGCCCCCAGCTTGAAACCTGCCTGTCTCATTTATCAAGAGTGGCTAGTTTGAGGCTAAACTTTGTCTCTTGCATCATAGTTTTGATAAATAACCTCCAAAAAGAAGCCAATATCCCCTAGTTTGCCACTTTGATTCACGGTCTTAAAATGCTTCAAGTGTTTTTGGTACTTCCCATTCACCGTCTTCACTTTGAAAATCTTTTCTCCAGTCTCTGTTACACCTTTCTGGCATAAAAGAAAAACAGAGATGGTTACCACTATAAATGTGTATATTATTATCATTAAACTTAGTCTTGATTACACTACGTTCTCATAATAAGCTTAGATAGTAAAACTCAACAAATACTACTCCAAATAGGTACACCAATCATCCACCGACGCAGCATCATCCCTCTTGGTAACAGCACTCAATGAAGGGAGGGATGTGATCATGGATGGCACTCTCTCTTGGGTCCCCTTTGTTGTGCAGACAATAACCATGGCTAGGAATGTTCACCGTCGCCGGTACCGCATGGGAGCTGGTTACAAGGTGGGTGAAGATGGAGTTGTAACTGAAAATTACTGGGAACAGACGGACGAAGAAAGTGACCAAGATGGAACTAAGAAAAGAAGACCATACAGGATAGAGCTGGTTGGAGTCGTTTGTGACGCTTATTTAGCTGTTATTAGAGGCATAAGGTATGTTATCAGACACAGATTATTGTACCATTATTATCAACATTACAGAACAAATATGAACTTACTAGAATGAGAACAGCCAAATTTTTTAGAGAATGCTGAATTTGGGAGACTATCACTTTTCTTTTCTTTTTTCCCCTCTCCTTAGAACTTTCCTACCGGTAAAACCACATAAATCTCTAATTGAATCATTTTCTTGATTGGGCTCTAATTTGTGAACTCTCCTTTAAATTTTGAATGGAAGCATTTCCAGGAACAATCTTCCTGATTTGCTTCAAATAACATCATACCATTTTATTTTTCATTTTTAAAACAAACTAACATTTTGCAAAATGAAACCTATAGTGTTGACAGTTGTATGTTCTTAACCCTAATAAAAGATGGAAAATTTTGTTATGGCCCATTTGTGAATTTTGTGTCTACAGGAGAGCTATCATGATCAGAAGAGCTGTGAGGGTGAAATCACAGTTAAAATCACATAAAAGATTTGCCAACGCATTTACAAAATACTGCCAACTAGTAGACAATGCTAGGCTATACTCCACCAATGCTTTGGAAGGCCCGCCTAAGGTACAACTCTCAACCCTTCCTTTTCTTCATTCTTTTTTCAGCTTTTCTGAACTCTTCTTGACCAGAAGACTAAATGGGGCAGAGAATTCAGCACCTGGAACCCAGGATTTGGAAAAAGGCATTGATATGCTACCTACTAAAGTCTCTAGCATATCCAGCCTGTGACAAGCTAGATCTGTTTAGAAGTGGTTAAAGTCCATCTGACTTGTAGATAGAAAGTTTTCATCTGTTTCCTTTTTTCCTTTTTTTTTTTGTTCATTTTACAAGGGCTATTATTTCCATGAGCTTCGAACTAGGCAGTTCAAATGTTCAAAGGTCTGAATCGGCCACACAATACAGTAATGCTTCATTGTACCAAAACCTACCAAAGCTAGAATGAGCTTAAACTGAGCCAAATTCCATCTTACTATATTGCGTGTTTTGCTAAGCAGTTGTTTATAGTAATAGCTTTCATTAAATGTGTGGTACTGACAAACTTTGGTTGTGAAGTTGATAGGGTGGAAAGATAGAGACAAGACTTTACTGGTTGATCCAGACGAAATAAACTGTTTAAAGACGGTAGGCAGGTTGAATGATGAAGCAAACTCCATATACGAACTCTACAAAAGCCCAAACCCAGCTTATGAAGCTGGATCAATTTGGAAAGACATTGTTTTGTCACCTTCAAGGTTGAACATTCAACAAGAGCTCAAGTATTCCATCCAGAAAGTTGAAAGATTGAAAGGATAAATGTATACTGCAAGGTTGCAATTGCAAACTGCTTATGTTGCATGTCCAAAAAGATGGAAGCTGACGAGGTTTTAGATTTTCACCTAGTATCATCACCAGAGTTATTTTACCTGCTCTGTATTAACAAATTACAGCTTAAAAGTAAAATTCATTTCAACTTCAAAATTCAGTTTAAAAAAATAGCAATTGAGTATTAAACAGCAATTCTCTGATGTTGAGGGTGTTTAGGAGTGAGCAATCTTACATGCATATATTTAATGTATATCATACAAAAATATGATATCCGAATTGGACAAGAGAGAAGAAGAAAACAACCAACAGCCAATCTTAAGCCAACTTACGGAGTTTCCATTGGTTTTATCCTTTCAATGGACAAGGAGAACTTTTGTCTATTGTTGGAGACTTGGAGGATGCTCCTAATATAAAATACACATCAAAATTCTCGATATGGGAATTGCTTGAATGAAACAAGCATATGACCACTAATGTCTGAATATTTTAAGAACATCCTCCAAGTCATAAGCTGTCATTGAAACTTCATCGGGTTGCAATTCACTCTTGAGCAGCAAACCAACAAGCAGTTATACACCATTATTGATACTAGTTAAATTCTTATTTTCTCAGATGCTACAGGAAGTCGCAAACTAACCTCTTTGTTGTTTCCGACTCACCCTTTCTTCATTTGTTTCTTAACCTTTGTTGCAGAGTTATATAGCTGCATCAACTGCTGCTTCACGGACCATGATGGCTATATTTGGATTGTCGTAGAAACAGAAACAATGGAACTGCATAGCATTTCAGAAAACAAAATATGCACCTTAATCATACAATTATTCTCTATAATAGCAGTTTACAGCTAAAAACATTTAAATTTGACATGCACAAGAATAATCATCTTTATAACTCAGTGTCAGCAAGTGTGCAATCCTAACTCAATCACTAGGTGCTTCCTGCACTTGCTCAACGATCATAACGTGCAAGTGGTAATTTGGTTCTCAATAAAATCTCTAGATATATTTCATTGTTAAAGCAGAAAGTTCTCATTAAAGCTTCGTAACCATCTGCTAACAATGACCCAAGTTCACATAGCACATCAAACCATGATAGTGCATACACAAATTATAGTTAAAACATTAATTGCAACTTTTCATATTCCAAGAAAAACAGAAATCCCTATGAGAATGTTCAGTTTTATATATATATGGTAGTATATATATTTTGTCTATATTAGGGATTGAGTAAATATTCTTATTTCCTTTTCAATCCTAGGTTAGATTGTTATATAAACCGATGTACTCTTGTATTACAAATACAATTCAATATACAACTTCTTCAAAAACTTACATGGTATCAGAGCCGTCTCTAAGCCAAAACCCTGTCTCTGAATCGACTTCTTCTTCTCCTTTTTGTCTGTCTGGTTCAACTAAACCCTAGGACCAAAACTCCATCTTGTGGCTTCCATCTCTGCTGTTCATGGTTGTTCCTTTTTCACGACATTCAGCCTAGGTCGCGACACCAGCCTCTGCTTCATGACTCATCTGAGTTTGACTCTGCCTCTGCCTCGTGCCCTTTGGTTCTCTAGTTGGTGATTAACCCAAAATTGTGACCCATCTGTTCGTTGGTTCTCCTTAGAACTTCGACATAACTGAGCCTCAAATTCTTCTGAGTTGCAATCGAGCTCTCTGGTCCCCTCTCTCTCTCTCTCTCATGAAGACTTTGTCTTCTCTGGTTCATGTATTGATTTATTGATAGAATCTTGGCTCATTACAGTGTGACCTCTTAGTTCTTAGTTTATTACATTTTGTTCCATCATATATCTATTTTGTGTTTGGTTTATTACAATATCGGACACCAAAATCCAAGCCATCAAATACAAACTCACTAGTGACAATTACGCTTATTAGGCCAATGTTATGAAAAAATTTCTTCTTGGTCAGAAAAAATGGGCTATGTTTCTGGATTTGTTACTCGTCTATCGAACCCGAAAAAGGAAGACTATCGGACTTCCTGTGACACTTGGGATTGTGACAATGCCCAAGTTCTGACCTGGTTTCATAATTCTACGGATGACCATATTGGAATGATGTTTTTCAAGTACAGTACTGCCAAAGAGATGGAATTATTTACTAGGTGTTTATCAGTAGTCCAACTTTGTCAAGCAATATGAGTTGAAAACAGCTATTCAGAGTGCTCGTCTACAAGATCAGACTATTTAGGATTTCTATATTGAGACACCTAGTCTCAAGATACTAGATGCTTATGTTGAGTTTTGGGAGCAGGACCGTTTTGTGCAATTCTTAATGGCTCTCTCCCCTCAGTAAGAGGCTATCCGTGGTGGCAATCTTCACCAATCTCCTCTTCTCTCTATGGATGTTATTGTTCGTGAGCTCCTCTCCGAGGAAACCCATCTTAAGACGGCTAATTAGACTCAACCTCCCTCCGCCTTCTTGGCTCCTGCTAAGCCGTCTCCGTTATCGACCCCACCTCTTCATCAGCTTCAAGCCACTGCGAAGCCCAAGAAGAGGCCATTAGGTTCGAATAAGTGTGCTTTCTATCGTCAGAAAGGTCATTGGAAGTACAACTGTCCCAAGAAGGGACATCAGCCTACTCCATCTTGTCAGCCACCTCAAACACAGTTCCGCCGTTCTACTCTGAGTACTTATCGGCCCCCTGCCGCTTATACTGCATCTACTCCGACTCTAGATCCTAATTTGGCTTCCTTAATTGCTCAGATTGCTCAACTTCAACATATCTTGTCCACCTCTCAGTCATCCCCATCTACCTCCACTTTTACCTCTCTTCATTCAAGTTTGCTTGGGTCCTTTTCATGTATCCCATCTTCTGTCTGACTTTTTGATTCTAGTGACTCATCATATGACTCCTCACCTTTCCTTACTTCAAAATGGTATTTCCCCTCCCATTCCTACTACTATTAATACTACTAATGGGTTTAGTATGTATGTTCTATCTACTGGATTTGTCTTACCCTCTACCATGTCTGCTATTAATAATTTTATATTCCTCAGCTATCTGTCAATTTATTATCTATCAATCAACTTGATACTTCTGCTTTTGATGTTATCTTTCCCTTTTTTGTCTGTTGTATGCAGGATCGGGTGTCTAAAAAGCAGATTGGAACTAGCCATAGAGTTGGAGATCACTGTGGTAGAAAGCTTGCATCTCCCTCTATCCACCTCTCTAGTTACACTTTCCTCGTTTCAGTTAAATTCTCAATCGAGTCAGTTTTATTTATGACAATCTCACCTAGGTCATTTGTTTATTGACTGCTTACAATTTTTAGCTCAGTCAGGATTATTGGGTAAAATTTCTCCTAGTCAAATTAATGAATGTGAGGAGTGTAAACTTGCCAAAATGTCAGCTTTACCATTTAATAAAAGTAATTCTATTTCTGTTTCTCAATTTTCTCTTGTGCGTACTGATGTCTGGAGACCCACTCATGTTTTCACTAAAGGGATTTTGCATACTACGTGTCTTTTGTTGATGATTACACCTGCTATACTTAGATTTATCTTATGACTCATAAATCTGACTTCTATCAAATATACCGTACCTTTCAGTCTATGATCACTACACAGTTTGGGTCTACCATTAAATTATTACGGTCCGACTTAGATGAGGAATATTTTAAAACTAAATTATGAGTATCTGGCCAATTTGGATATCATTCACCAAACTTCCTGTATTGATACACACGCCCAAAATGGTCACGCTAAGCGTAAACACTGTCATCTCCTTCTTTTTGCACCTATTCCAACTCCTTTTTGGAGTCAAGCAGTTCTTATAGTTGCTTTTCTTTTCAATCGTATGCCTACTCCCACTCTTTGGTCATTTTCCCAACTTTCCAATTACTCTATCATTCATGTTCTTGGGTCTGCGTGTTTTATCCTTCTTACCCAGAAAGATATGACAAAACTTAGTGTCTACTTTGTCCTGTGTGTTTTTTTAAGTTACAGTCTTACTAAAAAAGGCTATCGCTATTACAATCTTATTTCCCACTACCTTTATGTCTCCCCCTATGCTGCCTTCTTGGAAAGTATGTCTTACTTTCAACTTTCTCCTCTCACTACCCCAGTTTCCAAAAAGGATTAGGTTCTTATTGATTCATTTCCTTTTGAGGTTCCTCCTAATGAATACATTTCTACTGTTCTCCCTGAGTTGGTTTCCTCTTCTCCTTCTACTCCTCATCCTGCTCCTTCACTTCCTCCGTTGTTAGTTTACTCTCGTCGCAAGGCTATTCCCCCACCAATTGTCTCCTTCCTTACTAATGCTCCCTCTATTTCTAAAGACATTGATCTTGCCACCCGACGATATCCTAATCGTGAACATCATCCCCTGAACAGGTTAGGTTTTTTTAATACGTGTCTTTCTGCTTCTTATCGTACCTTCTTGTCTGCTATTCATTCCTTTTCAAAAATCCAGTATTACAAGGAAGCATGTCAGGATCTTAATTGATGAGTTGTCTGATTTACAGAAAACTAGTACTTGGGAGCTAGTTCCTTTGTCTGCTGGTAAGAATCTAGTTAGTTGAAAATAGATTAACAAAGTCAAGACTTACTCTGATGGATCTCTTGAACACTACAAAACTCACCTAGTTGCCAAAGGTTTCTCACAAGAGTACAATATTGATTATAAGAAAACATTTGTCCATGTTGCCAAGATGACTATTGTCCGTACTTTAATCCCTGTCGCTGCTATTTGTCATTGGCCTTATTATCAAATGGATATTAAGAATGTTTTTCTTAATGGCTATCTCATTGAAAAGGTTTACATGCGTCCTCCTCCTGGCCTTCCTCATTTCTCTGGACAGGTTTGTCATCTTTGGCATGCTCTATATGGTTTGAAACAATATCCTTGTATTGGTATGATTGTTTTCAAATAGCTATTACTAAACTTGGGTTTCATCCTTGTGCCCAAGACTCTGCTTTATTTCTCTCTCACACATCTGTTGGTTTTGTTGCCTTATTACTATATATGGATGATATAATGATCACTAGCTCTGACTGTTTTGCTATCTCTGAGGTCAAGCAACATCTCTTCTACATTTTTGAAATGAATGATCTGGGCTCATTGTGGTATTTTCTTGGTATTGAGATAGTTTCTTCTCCCCAAGACTACTTTCATTCTCAAGCCAAGTATGCCAATAAAGTTATTCATCATGCCGGTCTTATTGACACTAAGAATGCTAATACCCCCATTGAGCTTAATGTGAAACTCAACACCACTGATAGAATTCCTCTGGATAATCCTACTTTATATCGAGAGCTTATGCGTTGCTTAGTCTATCCGACGATTATGCGTTCTGATCTTGCCTATGATGTTCATGTAGTTAGCCAGTTTGTTTCTGCTGCTCGCTCCACACATTAGGCTGTATTGGTTCGGGTTCTTCGCTATCTCCAAGATATTATATTTCAGGATTTACTATTTTTACTTTCTCTTTAGACTTGGTGGCCTATGCTAATTCTAATTAGGCTAGTAATGTTACTGATCGCAAGTCAACATCTTATTTCTATATATTTCTTGGCAATTCCCTAATCTCTTGAAAAAACAAGAAACAAACTATTGTTACTCACCCCAGTGTCGAAACTGAGTATTGTGATATGACTCATACTACTGTTGAGATTGTTTAGCTTCGCTGTCTCTTGTTTGATTTGGATGTCCTGCAGTCTTCTCCAACCTCTCTCTACTGTGACAACCGCAATACTATTCAAATTGCCCATAACACTGTCTTCCATGAGCGAACAAAGCACATTGAGATTGATCGTCACTTTGTTTGTCAGCATCTGCAGTCTGACTCTATCTCGTTTCCTATCGTCTCTTCGGCTCTGCAACTTGCTAACTTCTTTACTAAGACTCACACCACTGCTCGGTTTCAATTTCTTCTTAGCAAACTCTCAATGTTTTTTGCTAAAACACCTTAAGTTTGAGCAGGGGTGTGAGAATATTCAGTTTTACGTATATGTAGTATATATATTTTGTATATATTAGGGATTGAGTAAATATTCTTATTTCCTTTTCAATCCTAAGTTAGATTGTTATATAAACCGATGTACTCTTGTATTACAAACATAATTGAATATACAACTTTTTTAGAAACTTACAATGCCAACAAAAAAGAAAAAATGAAAGAAATCTCAAGGAAAATGCTAAATTATTCGAGAGACCTCAAAATAGCATTTCATTTAAAACTCCTATTGCAAGTACATTTCGGGGTACCCTAAGGCGAAACACAACCCAAGTCCAGTGTGTAAACTCAACGCAGTTGTACTGGATACATACCAAAAATCATTCAGATCGAGAGGAAGAAAATGAATAAATCAACCCAAAAATAGCACCGAGTTCACAAAAATGAATAAAATATGTTCAAATATCCAATATGATAGGTACTTTGGCCATGCCAATATTTCCTAAATTTAGGGTACAAGTAAACCATGACAGAGTGAACAAGACGTTGTAAAATTCATATAATGGGGAAAGACAATAATTGCAAACGATGCTACAAATATTAAAGGAAAACCATTTTGGTAGCCTCTTAAATAATTGCAATAAAAATGATTAAATATGAATTTATTACATCCTATTGCATCACTGTAAAGAATGATACATTGGAATTGTCAAACAAAAATCCATAATTAAAGGAATTGATTGGCAACTTAAATCGCAAACAACCTCAATATCCCTGGTTCTCTTGATTCTTGAACCTAAGAATCACATACACGAACACGCAACACAACACGACACGAACATGCCGACACTGCAATTTTCAAAAAATACAAGACATGACACATGAGAAATGCACACAAAATATATAATTTTATAAATTTATTGCATGCCATATACTCCCTCCATCCCATTTTGTTTGTCCATTTTGGGAATTCCAACTTTTTAAGGGGACATGTAATAAATGCACTAGAATTCAAATTCAATGGCATTTTATTTTCAACAATTGACCCTTTATTTTCTACTTTCAAATATACATATAACTATTTATGAAGGATAGTTTTGAAAACTTTATGCTTCGACTTTTCAAAGTGGACAATATTTTTGGACATTCCAAAATGAAAAGATAGAGAAACAAAAGGGACGGAAGAAGTACATAAATATATCATTCAAAGATAATAAAGAAGAGCAAATTACAAACACACCCTTTGACTTGAGGTTTGCCTAAAATACAAATTCCTACTGTGGTTTGAGAAATTACCATTAACCCCTGTTAGAGTATGTCATTTAACAGAAGAAACAGGACACAAAAAAAAAACTTTCTTGCCTTTCCATACTAAAACAAAATTATCTTGTTATAATACAATTCTCTATTTCTCTTTATACATTAAATTTCTACACAACTCTCAACACCACCTCCCACCACCACGATCAATCTCATATCATGTTGCCTACCCTCCCCCCCTCCTCCCACCACCCCACAACCACAACCACTATAATCGGTCAGAGACTTAGAATCACAAAATTACAATTAGAGAGAGAAAGACCACACCCACTTCCATAACACAACCACCACCAAGAAAAACTACATCAAATTCTAGAAGAAAAGGCAACCGGGGGGGCACGCACAAGAGAGAGAGAGAGAGAGAGAGAGAAACACAAGTGCTAGTTGGATCAGTGGACTTTTGGGTTGTTCGTAATCTTGGGACTTTTGTTGAGAGAGAGAAACACAAGTGCTAGTTGGGTTAGTGGACTTTTGGGTTGTTCGTAATCTTGGGACTTTCGTTGAACACATTGCCTTCATCCACCACTACTGTTGACACACTGTTGTTCACCTTCATTCTCCTTTATCCACCAGCTATAAAACACAATCATTGTTCCACCAACTTGCTTTTGCACCACCTCCTCCTCTGAGCACCTAATCTAGTTGGTATGTGATTAGTTCAATTGAAACCCATCCTCTACCAACAATTGAAACCCATTGTGGACTCAATTGGTTTGCCGAACAATCTTACCCCTCCATGCAACAAGCAATCACCAGACAATCGCAACCCTCCTTCCCCACACACACAATGACCATCACCCACCATAACTACAACATTGTTTGAAACTTGGCACAACACTTGGGCGCATCATCTCCAAGCCAATGATTAGAGCACACTTCTTCAGATTCTTTATCTTTCTTTGTTATTATTCAACTAGATCTAGATGGGTTTTCATTGCGATGTTGCTGGGAAAGGTGAGAAAATGACAGTGGAGGATGTAAGAGGGGTGTTGATAAGTAGGGGAATGGTGGAGGCGGGTGGGGATGGTGTTAGGGATATGCTATTGAGGGGAAAAAAAAAATAAAAATTAAGATACAAGGAGAAGAGAGGTTCCCAGGTTTTAGGGTTATGAAGGTAAAGTGAGTGTTTTATAAAATTATATTATTGATGTTAACATTAATATTTAAATCAACTTACAGTGGACTAACAAAACGGCCAATTTGCTATATAAATATAAACCTTAAGGGGTGGAATATAATTTCTACAAACTCAAGGAGTCAAAAAGTATTTTAGGCAAACCTCACGGGGGTATTTGTAATCCTCCCATTTAAAAAAAAAGGTAAAACATAAAACTAAATCATATAAATTTATATTGTTTTTCTTTATCATTGTATCTCAAGTTATTTTGTTCCAACTTATAATTTGTTTCATGTGTCGAAGTAATGGATTAGTGTCATAAATGTGTCTGAAGTGGGTTTAGGTTTACAACAATCAACAAATAATACAAACGTTTTGACAAGTGTTTGGCATGTGTCGGAAAGTGTTGACACATGTCAGCAAGTCTCCAACTAGTGTTAGTGTCCACCACATGTTGAACAAGGACACACCACTTTTTTAAAAGTGCTTGTGCTTCTCATTATCAACGATAACCATCATGAATATATCTATTAACTTCCAAAAAACATTGAAATTCTCACTGGTAAATAAGGTTAGAGAAAGTGCCTTGTAAAGCAAACTATACAGATTTTGAAAACCAAACCAAGCGTGGACTCCTTGAGAAGTGCCTTGTTAAGCAACCTATAATTATTAAAGGGTTTCGAAAGAGTACACAAAACAATGGAGTATGTTGACGTAGACTTGATAGTGGGAGAGATTTGTTCTCCATCCAAAAATCACATGATTATGTCAACAACACTTGCCATGCCATTGTAAGATGCACTTGGCTCCACCATTACGATGTAATTCTCTCAATTTATCACAATACATGAAAGGTACATGGGACAAGAGAGTGGTCACCATTATGAGCTCTCGAAAACCTTTCCACTCGAATAAGGCTTATATATTTGATGAACTGTTTTATATATCAAGCTAGATAAATAAGACATTCATTTCTCTCCACAACACATTCCCATTCCCACATAGGAACATCTCCAAGGAAGATCCCGCTATCCCACTCAAAAGAAATGGTTGCAAGAAGGTGGTATTTCCCAACTCAATAAAGTAACTCGAGTCACCAAGTACAAAATGCCAGCAAAACAACCATCTATCATTTCTGACAATATTCAGGGTTAATATCGCCTCCCTCTGAGGCCGATCCAACCAAAGTGTTGTGAAAAGTTTAGCTGGGTGATCAAAACTTTCAAACTCCGTAATCTTTTTAGGCCTGGTATATTTTTAGTTGAGCAAGTGTGACGAAGTTCAAATTGCAACCAAGTCTTCTTGGATGTTGATTTTCAAGTATATGATCTGTTTGAACCTTTGCACAACTCACTTTGCACTTCATTCACATCTATACTTGTTATTTCAGTTTCATGCCAAATTTATTAAGTTGTTTCAAAGTTTTTGGACCCCGCTTGCCCAAAGCTCAACAAGCAATCGACTCAAACTCCTACAAGATGCATTTGACACTTGAGCACTAAAACCTTGAGAGATGCACTCAACAGACTCACAAGCGCTCAAACTAGGGGTGCACACAATTCAAATCGAGTTGGGTTTGGCTATTACCCATTACTCAAACTAAACTGATTGGGTTGCCCATTGTGTAAACTTCTCCTGACCGCACCAACTGTTCAAGTTTACGGTCTGGTTCGTCAGTCCTACATCAACAGCCAAGATTCAAAATGAACATCAAATTTGAGACCCCCCAAAAAAAAAATTAAATAAATAAAATGCTAGGGTTCTTGTTAGTCTAGGATGAATACACCATTGACACCAGAAGAGAAAATGAATGGCATACTAGATTGTCGAATAGATTGAGAGATTGGGAGGCTTTGAAACTCAGCTTCTAAGGGGGCTTTAATATTCAAATTCATGATAGTGTGGATCGTTTTAGGATTACAATTTTGTAAGAGAGAGAGAGAGAGAGAGAGAGACAGGGCAAGATTATCCCAGAACACAGCAACAGATCACCTACAAGTCCAAAAAACTGAAGCAGACCATCCAAAACGCAGAAAAAAGCCAAGGTAGGACCAAAATGCCTCAAACCAGGGATAGTAAACCCTTGAAGGGTGCCAGTCGGCTCCCACAGAAGTGAAAGGAAGGGACAAAACCAATCAAAAAGGGTTCAAACAAGAACTTTCGAAAAATCACCCGATTTTGACGAAAAATCAAAAAAATTGGAAAAAGCAATCAAGAATGATCAAAACATCAAAAGGAGATTACAGGATGAATACCCATGAAATTTCGAGCATATTGACAATTTTTTATTTTTATTTATTTATTTATTTGTTGCTGTTGCTATAGACATACCTACCTACAAGAACAAGGAGAGAAGAATGAGAGGAATCATCTTCAAGGAGGAAGATATTGCTTTGATACCATGTTGAATGTGTAGATGATGAGAAGAAGAAGAAGAACAACAACAACAACGAGAGAGAGAGAAAGTTGCTGCATATTCCTTAATTCAAAAGCATAGGGTTTCCCCCTTGCGCACAACTATTTATACTAAAAAGCATAATACATAAAGACCAAACTACCCCTAACACTTAACACAAGATTACATGCCCCATTGTGCTCATTTTGTGTGTTCTGTTTTGGACACTACAATCTCCAAAATTTCATGAATTCATAATTTATGTTAGTTAAATTTTCTAAAATTATACTTCGTGTCAGTCTTTTGAATTCAAATTATCAATTTTTCAGATATGAAGTTGATACGGATGCATTTCTTTCTGTACTTGCCCTTCAACCTCTTCCAAAAATGGCTTCTGTGCCCACCATTGTTGAGGTGCGTTCTTGTGAGAGGCTTTTTGATTGACATCACGTAATAGAGTTCAGGATGCAAAATTTATGATGAGTTTGTCCTCTTAATTCCTGCAGGTTGCAGATTCCAATACATGTGAGCTCTTAAAGTCAATCTCAGGATTAAAAGTACAGCCTGTGGAAAATGTTTCGTCCAAATTTATCCGTTGTTGTGCCATGCCGTGCTCCATACCCTAGCACTTCACTGGCCAAGACTGAGGAGGACCGGGCTAGGCGGCATCTCGGCAAAGCCTAGCCCGAGGTGCCTCCTGGGGTAGGCCTTTCTGCCGGTCAGACAACTTCCTCGGATGTCCGCGCCTTCCCGGGCGCCGGTCACTCGGCCTATCTGGCTTCGGCCATCCTCGGACCGAGCATCCTGGTCCGACCGAGCACTGCCTTGCCGAGCAGTTTCTGTCCGGTCCGGGGTGGCACACAGCCCGAACTCTGCCCGGCCCAATGTTCTGGCAGCCCTTCTCTGGGCGAACAGTCGATCATCTCGGCCCAATGCACTGCTGGGCTTTCAACCTGCTCGGTCGATATCTCGGCCCAACTCCAGATCATAAATCACCCTCTCAAACTCATATTCTTTTAATAATATCAATTTTACACCTAAATAGGATCAACTTTACCTTGTCATTAACTGTCGTTTATAATCAAACGAAAGTTGCCGCGTAGCATAACACTAAAATTTCATTTGAAATTTCATTTTACCTTTCAAACTATCTTTAAAATATCAATTAGACCCTAAAATTTATTTTATTCGAATAAGTTATGTTAGGACCCTACTTGTTGTCAAATTCCGTGGACAAACTTAGGGTTTATTGAGTTGTAATTTTCCTTTGGTTTTTGTCTTCCCGCTCGAGCGGGGAACGTAGCGCTCAAGCAGAGATTCCACCATCACAGTATTTTGGCTTGTCTGCAAAATATACTGAGTGGTGTGTTTTTACGCTCAAGCATGGGATCTTACGCTCAACTGTGAACCCTGGTTTGAAACATGCGATATAGAGTCCCCGCTCGAGCGTCCATTTCTACGCTCGAGCGGACCTCGCAATTTTAGATTCTATAAAACCTCAAGTTGCTCCAAATCTAGGATTACGTTTTGTAGATCTTCTTTAAGGATTTTAGGGTTTTCTTGTGGGGATATTTTTCTGATTTTCCTTGATGTTTGATTGAGTTTTGAACTCATGTTCTTATAAGCACACATCAAGGAGTTTGGTTGATCTTCCTTGAGAGTATTCTTCTTTGGTGGAATCCAAAGATTCAAGCACAGAGTAATCAAAGGAGTTTAATGATGTGTGCAGTCGTTGGTTCGACAATGGATGTTGTGGATTCAACATCAGTCTAATCAATTCCGAGACGAAGGTTGCGTGATTTTTTTTATCACAATTGAAGGTGCTCCAATTGTGGTTTTTCCACGTAAAAATCGTTTGTGTAGATTTATTATTTCACAAACAACAATGTAAATTACATTCGTACGTGCTTAATGATTTAAATTGGTAAGTTTTGTTGTTTAGGAATTGGTACAATTAGTTCTTGATCTAATCACGAATTACTTAAGTTTTTCAATTAGTATCAGAGCAGGTCATTCTTTGTTTTTATCAAAACTATACGAGTGTGATTTTGTGTGATTGGTGATATGGATTCAATCCGCAAAGGTAACTCAACCCATAGACCTCCGTTACTAGATGGTACAAACTATTCTTATTGGAAAGTTTGTATGAGAGCGTTTTTAAAATCTATCAATGAGAAAATTTGGCACTGTGTAATCTATGGGTGGAGTGAACCTATTGTCACCATTGATGGTGTTGATATTCCCAAATCCCTTGATAAATGGGACGCATTCGACTATCACAACTCGAGTTAGAACAGTAAGGCTCTCAATTCCCTTTTTTGCTCTGTCACACCTAAAGAGTTTCGTCGTATTTGCACGTGTGAGGTAGCAAAAGAGGCTTAGGACATTCTTGAAACAATTCACGAGGGTACTACTTCTGTTAAAAGGTCAAAACTTCAGGGTCTCGCCTCTGCCTTTGAAACTCTTTTTATGCATGATGATGAGACGTTTGATAATTTTTATGCTAAACTTAGTGACATCGTGAATTCCTGTTTCACACTCGGTGAAAAAATCCTTGAAACTAAGGTTGTTGGAAAAATTTTGAGGTCTTTACCCAAGAAATTCTAATCAAAAGTGACAGTTATTAAAGAGGTTCAGAATGTTGATACCCTCAAGTTTGATCAGTTGGTTGGAAACTTACAGACTTATGAAGCCCACCAGATTTCTAAGAAAAAACAAAAAGATAGTGTGCTTTCACTAGTGCTCATGAGACTACAAAAACTCCTGAGACTGAGTTTGATCTAGAGTCCGAGATGGCGGCTATGTTTACTAAGTAGTTCAAAAAAAAATTAAAGAAAAAGAAGCCTAATTTCAAGGACCCTATTTCAAAAGATAAAGAGTAATGAAAAACCCAAAACTTTTCCACCAAAGCTTGCTCCAAAAACTTAAAAGAAGATTGTGAAGGGGCAAGGGGTCAAGTGTTATGAATGTCAAGGGTTTGGACATATTGCTCTTGAATGTCCATCGAAAAAGAATTCGAAAAAAGTTTATACAGTGACTTGGGATGATGAAGGCGCGTCAAAGCAAGAACCCGAAGAAACCGAATCTAGTGAAGACGGAGATAGTGCTTTCATGGCATTCTGGTTCACTTTCACTCAACCTCCTCTAGAGCCAGTGGAATTTGCTCGTGGTCAAGATTTGCACCATGCTCCTACCTTTGATAGAAGTAATTACTTGTACTGGAAGATCAGAATGAGGGCATTTCTGAGAGCTTACGACCCTGAGGGTTGGCAAGCCATTGAAGAGGATGTTGAAAGTACTGACAATCCGAGCAATCAGAGAGTTCTGACTACCATTCGTAGAGCAATTTCTAATGAAGAACAGCAGCGGGTTGCTCACTGCACAAAGGCCAAAGATGCATGGGACATTCTGAGTCAATTTCATGAAAGAGGAGTCATCTTCACCCCCATCTATCTCCTTTCCTGCCTTAGTTGCTCGACTGGTTGGGGTCCAAGACAAAGAGGAGCAAAAAAAAGATAATGAAACATCAGCCGACAATAATGAGATTGATGGTGATGATCTACAACAAGCTTACGAAAAGCTTTACGATGAATCTCTGAATCTGTCTCACTCTCAAGCTCAAAGCATGTGAAAGCGAGAATGTCAAGCTAAGAGAAGAAGTTGTAAAAGCCAAGCAGAATGTCATCAAGATCTCTAATGACAGGCAAGACCTTTGTGGGAAACTTCTATCTTGTGAGACCGAAAGAAATGAACTTTTGAAAATATATGCCACATATGAAGAGAAGATTGAAAGCCTTGAGATGTCACAAACTACATTGGAAGAGATGGTTGGTCAAAACCACGAAGAACTCAGAGATACTAGAGCCACAATTGCCATGTGGAACAAAGGTTCCAAGTCATTAGAAAACATCCTTGGGTCTCAACAAATGGGTTGTGACAAAAGTAGGCTAGGCTATGGTAATGCAACAGCTCACAAGGGACAGGCCTCTTCATCACATGACCTGAAGACTTAAGCAAAGGGAAAGCTGAAGGTGCACCAGGGTGATCCCTCTCATCATCTACCTAACGGAGGGTAAGATCAACAAAAAGAAGGTAAAACCTGTTTTTGTTTGTCATCATTGTGGTAGGTATGGCCACATTCGTCCTTATTGCTTTGAGTTGTTTGGTAAGGTGTCTCAAAAGGGTAGAAATTCTAATACTTTTTGGGTTAGGAGACAATCTTACTTGTCTAGGCGGAACACCAAGATTCATGAGGGTGTTCACAACGCTAAGACATTTACCAAGACCGTCAGTCCTAATTTTGTTAAGACCAAAAAGATACGGGTGAAAAAGGATAACTTGACTTGTTTTGTTGTTCACACTGCTCTAAAAGCACGTGACTCACACATGTGGTACCTTAATAGTGGGTGCTCTTGTCACATATCAGGTGAAAAATCCTACTTCTCTTCCCTTGAAAAATATGAAGAAGGAATTGTTACCTTTGGAGATGGTGGCACTTCTAGAGTCATTGGTAAGGACTCTATAAGTGTGGTTGGTCTTCCCAAGCTCGAAAATGCATTACTTGTTGATGGCCTTAAAGCAAATCTTTTGAGCATCAGTCAAATGTGTGATTCCCACCATGAAGTATTATTTTCAAAAAATAAATGTGAAATTTTAGATAAAAAAAGAAATACTGTCATGCATAGGATTCGCACATCTGATAACTGCTACGGGATTGTTACCATTAATGATCTCACTTGCCACTCAGCCATCATAAGTAACATTGATCTGTGGCATCAAAGATTAGGTCACATGAATTTCAATGCCCTAATTAAGATAGCCAACAAAAAGCTTGTGAGAAGAGTATCTAAACTGGGTAAGAATTTGAACCATGTGTGGACCATGTCAACTTAGGAAGCAAACTCGTGCCCCTCATAAAAAAGTGAACAGCTTTACAACCAAACGTCCTCTTGAATTGGTTCATATAGATCTTATGGGACCCACTCGCACTGAAAGCATTAGAGGTAAAAGATATATTTTTTTTAACCGTTAATGATTTTCATAGGTAATCCTTGGTTTAGTCATGTCCACTTCTAAACATAAGAAGTCAACTGCCTCTCGCCCCGCTTTTAATACAGACCGGTTTCCCTCAGGTGAAAAAGTCAAGTTGTTTAGAGAGTCCTACCCCTCTAGGACTATTCATCTTGAACGCAATGTCCAGCCAAACACTTTTGAGTCCATCTACATTCGCCCTTTGCTTGATCCTATGGGTGCGGATTTGGTTCTTTCCTTCTTAGGCCGTCAAAATCTTGATTGGGTGCGGGAATTTTACTGTAATATGGAGGGGGTTGACGATGTTGGTCCTTCATTCAAGACTTGAGTCAAGTCTAAGTCTATCACAATTACCCCTGACTTTATTCGTGAGCTATTAGGTATTGGTAAAGTCTTTCCTATTTATTATCCTTTCCCTATTCGACCCACCTGTGATTTCAACGAGGTGGCCACTGCTTTATGTGGTGCATCTCGTTCGTGGCTCCCGGGCTCTTTGATCAAACAAAATGAGCTCCTTCCCCAGTTTCGTTTACTCAAT